CCGAAGCTAGTTTGGATTCTGGAGTTGGGAAATCCTTAATTACTTTAACTTTTTCAGGATCAGGTTGAAGACCCTCTTTGATTATTTGATGTCCCATGCACGTTAAAGAGTCACTCCGCAACTCAATCTTGTCTTTGTTAAGCTGGATAATTTTCTCTCTACAACATTTGAGAATTTTGTTTAGGTTTGCATCGTGTTCCATTGTATCGGCCCCATGTATTATGACATCGTCAGCAATGCACAGACAACTCCCTTCAAACCTGCTAGTGCCTCAAGTAATCGCTTCTGAAAAATTTCTGAGGATACATTAAGCCCTTTAAGCCCAAAAGGAGTATCGAGCTTCACATGCTAAAAGCCAGATGCCAAGTCGACTTGAGAATACTCTAGACTGGCCCAATTCATGAAGGGCGTCCTAAAGAATAGGAAGTGTATAATGTTCCGTCTGAAGGGCCTTATTCAGCTCTCTTGGGTCTTTGCAAACTCTGATTTTCCCATCCTTTTTGACTCACAACAACTTGACTCACCCAATAGGTTGGTTCCTCTACAGGTACAATTACACCCAGCTTAACTATTATAGTCTCTCTAGTTCTGCCTTTAGTTAGGATTCATGGATTTTGGGCATGCGTCTGTCAGGCATAATTACAGGTTTAATATTTGGGTCAACTTTGATGGGCTGTACACCAGGGAGGGTTCTTAGAGTGCTCTTCATCACATCCAAATACTCATCTTCTAGTTTGATATTGTACACTTACTCAAAGTTACCCTCCTTTACTTCCACCAGTCCCGTTTGTTGACTCGCATTCATCCCTATAAGTGGTGTAAGATTCTCTTTAAAGACAATGAAATCAAAAGAATATTTCTGATCAGTTACAAGGTAGTACATAATTCCGAGTGCATATACCAAGTGGAACCTGACTGCCTTGCTTCCAGGTCTTAAGGACTCTATTTGTAGATTTGACATGTTTGACAAAACTGAGGGGTAGAGTATTCACAGTAGAACCAGTGTCAATCTGAAAGCCTATCTCTTTACTCCCTATCACAATCATACACTAAGCTTCCTTGTGATTGTTGTCATGTGATCTTGGTTTAGAGAACACTGAATAAATAAAGTGAGTAGCTGGCTTTGTTGAGGAAGATCCAGACTCAGATGTGTCACTCACATTATAGATCTTATGCCTTCTCTTATTCTTTACCTCTCTATTTTGGCTACACTGACTTTTCTGTGATTTACACACATTAGCAAAATGATTAATGAGACCACATGATACACACTTTTTGCCATATGCAGGGCATTTCTCTTTTACGAGAGCATGTTTATAACCACAAAACTTGCAGTGTTTCTTAGGTTTCTTATATACCACTTTCCCTCTGTCATTCTTCTCCATATGACCTCTGTTCTCCTGTGTTAGCTTATTTACTGTGTCTGGTCTTATCATTCTGTTCTGAGCTGTTGTATTTTCGGCAGTTTGCATATGTCGATATATTTCTCCAGTTAAGTTTGCAATCTTGAGTCTATTCACTGACCATTAACGGCAAGCAGCTGTCACAGTAAGCACAAGTCTTACAAGAGACTTCATATTAGAGTAGAACTGCTGAAAAGTTTTACCTTCAGCCTGGTTTTTACTGTTAAATACAAACTTTTCATATATCTCATTTACTTTTCCTATGGCATACTCCTCAAATTTTTCAATAATCTTCTTGACAGTTCTCTCTGATTCCTCAGTTGTGAATACAAAATTAATGAACATTTTAAGAGCATCATTAGCCAGAACATGCTTGAACAAAGCTACATTGTACCACCTTGTCACGCTATATTGAACCAAGTGACAGTGGTTGTAGTGGCTTCATACCAGGTATAGGGTTGAGCGACATTATGATTAAGTAATTAACTTGAGGTTTGAGTTGTCTTCACCGCAGCACAGCAGTTACGGTAGATCGGTACAGCGATTATCACAGCAGGTAGGTGAACACAACAGTCGTCGCCACCGCACGGTATTAACACCTACTGGCTTCCATTAAGCTATAGACAGCCTGGCATTCGTCCTCTCAGCCTTCTCTCACCAGAAAATAGTGGCACAAACCTCTGCTGCAGCAGTGTTTCCTCTTGTTGTTAGCACCTCTTATTCGGCCTGACTCCTCTCCATCATGTAATCCACCTGTTGCCACCATGTTACGAGTCGAGCAAGCAAGACACTAGGAATTGCTGGGTGATAATAATACGTGGAGAGAAGAGTCCTTTTGTTTACTCGGTGGCAGTGTCCCTTACAACATACAGTAACAAAAGAACACTGGGATGCGCAGTGCGCTTTATTTAAACTTATTTCACATAACTCGCTTTCGGTAGGGTCTGGTAGAGAAGGTTGACTGGTAACTGGCACGAAGAACATTCATAAAGAGGCTCTCTCTGCATGGTGGAAGGTGACTAGACTCAACTTCTCCCCGTTTGGCACAGAAGAGGTGGTAGCGCAGTTTGTTCACCTCATTGGTGCTGTTACTTGCTGCAAACATACGACAGAAGAACTAGCGGACCTTCTGAAACAGTTCTGGGGAGATATCCCATGACTGGCCAAGTTGGCTGAAAGTCTCTTGAAAGGCGATGTTCTTCTTCAGCAGGTTCAATGGCACCCAGCTTCCCATGATCAGTGAAGGTGCTCACGGAGTGACAGCCTGTAAAGGCATGTCATCCTATCAGGTTGTCACAGATGCTTTTCCTATTGCACTTCCTAGTTTGCTGGTGTCGATAAACCGTGTGCGGTTCTGTGTGCCACGCTTCAGGTAAATGGGGCAAGGGATGTCCTTGTGAAAGCCAAGGCAGAGGAACATGACATCAGTGTTCTCAGCTGTGACTATTACTGCTTTCGAGCCAGAATTCGCGGCATGCAATACATGTACCAGGAGACGTTTGTCACTTTCTTTTCGTATGGACTGTTATTCAGTAACATCTAAGCAATCATCTTCTGTCATCCTGTACCAGGCATCCTCACAGGTGCCATACGAGTACAGTGTCTTACTATTCAGCTACTTTCTTTGGCTTGGCAGTTTCCACTGTTCTAACCAGGAATTTGATGAGGCTGATCTTGTTGTCAGAACTGCACAAGAACTTTCTTCACTGCTGGATGTTGTACTCTCCTGCAATATTCTTGTATTGAACGGTTGTGCTTTCAGCTCCCGCTTACATTTCTCAGCATCTGTGATTTACGTCTCACGATAGATGTAAAAAACCACATCCATCCTCATTCAAGAACAGGTGTAAAGCAGCTTCTGCCAGATTTACGAATGTTTTGCTGTTGCCGTTCATTTTCTGCACCAGGCCCATCCCATTACTGATGCAAGTTCATGGTATGGGAATGTCTTCTGCAGTGGATACATTCTTCCCAAGTTCTGTGGTAAGTGCAGCCGTTTTGGTCTTTCGTTCACCAGTGCCCATGGTAGAGTGCCCAGTGAGTGGGACAGGACATCCCTCATTTGAACCAGGATCATTTAACCAAACAGCTTTCGGTCTGTCTTCAGAACCACCACATCCTGTTCTTTCTTTCCATGGACTCTCTTTGTAGTGACATTGGAGAATGTCTTCAACTTCAGGTTTGTCATCACGGTATGCTGAATTAATGCGCGACAGCCTCTCAGTTTAACTCGACCCTACAAACCCCTTTCGCAGAATCCTCGTTAATTAAACTATCGAGGAAACAGTAAACAAAGACACGCAGACCCCAAGGGGTCTATGGAGTTCAACATGAGGCCGGGAGCTATGATAGGCCAAGGCAGTTCAAAGTTGTCTTACCCAGACTCGCATGGGCCAGGGGTGAAGAAAGATGAAAGAGGTGTCGAGTCCCTGGTGGATCTGATGGAAAATAACTGGCTGAACCCAATGTCTCCAGAAGAGTCTGACCTGGCCAGCCTGTCCACGGGTAGCGTGGCTAAGAGTGTTTGATGGGCATCTGCGACATTTGGGCATAATAGTGTGGCAGGCATCGTGTATAATTCACAGATTAATTATGCTCCACACATAAATAAATACAAGATTATGTGTTAGGCACGTAGCTTGGCTACAAATAATGCATTTAGAAGATATTCATGCGTGTTACGGTGCATCTGTTTCAATAAATAAATAGGGAATATGATAATAATGACCATGTCATGATTAAGGTACCCGCAGGAAAAGGCATTAAGCTTCTCATTTAGTAAAGCTATCACATAGTTTTTTACTTATAGTGGATGGACAAATAAATTGTCACTATTGAACTTTTGCTACCTTGGGTGGTGCCGGTATCTGGCTAGGCCCATGGACTATCATAGTTAAAGGCTTTTTATTCATTAATATAGTAACAGTGAATATATTGGTAAATGTGTGCCTTTCCAATGTTTGACTACCATTTCATAGTACATGTACAATTACTGTAAATGCAGCAAAAAATCAGCTAAGTTACAACCACCAATGAAATGCACATATTTGAGACAAGAATTTAGTGTACATTTAATTTTTTCTTTTACTAAGTTTTCGCATTGCCATGTACTGTATTATACAATAAGTTATATTTATCTGCTCTTCATATTTTACAACAATGCTGATTGCGAAATCGCTTACAAACGCCGAGTAGGCGACTTATTGATTCATCTTGAATTGTTTACCCCCTTTTTTTAATAACATTTATATGGGGGCAGTATTTATTGGTGCAGTATTTAATATCACGGACACTAAGTGCACAGCTGCTTGGTGTACAGCTTTTAAAGAAATGCCTCAAAACTTTCTTACTACAGACAGTAGCTGGTCAGTGATAAGGAACTGCGAAGATAGATTACCGTAGACGAGTAATGAATACCGGTATATCAGTATGACGTGAAGGATACCAGCAACTGTATAAAAATTTGTGAGAGATGATGGTTGAATATTTCTACATAAAGTACAAGGTTAACCTAACGTTATGTGATGGTCGATAAAAACAGACATACACTTAGCCCGACATAAACAAAAGACAGTGTGGGAGGTGACTGTCACTTACCCTGTCCCTGAATCGCTTGTAGCTGGCCCGAGAGATGACTAGCCCCAAGGTTGGTCCCAGACTCCACATCACCTATCGTACACCAACACCCAGGTGAGGAAGATGGCCTTGATCAACATATTACGAGGTGCTAATAATTTAGATAAGAATCAGTATTGCATTAGAACAGAGGTGGCTATCAACCTGTAATAACTTTTGTAACATGAGAGCAACGGCGTCATTATAACGAGTCCTTTCAAACCTGTCCGAACGCGTCGAGCCAGATGTCGGGTCGGCCGAGGTCACTACTACTCCAGTTGAAGACGAACTGGAGACCGAGGTCACTCTGATCCATCTCCAGCCCGTTAACCATTAGGACAATGAGACCACATATGGTGACCAGAGACCACACCTTGGAGAACACACCGTCTCTCCACGCCTTCCCCAGTGACACCAGGAAGAGCAAACCCAACCACAGGAAGCCCTGCATCAGCGCCAGCTGCAGGTTGATAGCTCGCCCCTCGTCAGTGTGCAGGGCACCCACCACTGTATTCCTGCCGGGCGGACCACCACTTTTCTTATAATACTACGCAAAATTAACATCAATTGCTCATAAGTCACACAATAATACTATCCAATTATAAAATAGCCTATTTATACCAAAAGTAGGTTAGGTAAGATTATGTTATGTATGAAGTGAATGATACATATTTATTATGCTTATCTGTATGATCATTTATGGTCAGTCAGAGGTTTTTCCCCAAAATTCGTAGAAGCTATTGTTATTAGGCTACTATCCCTAATAATAATATATATATATATATATATATATATATATATATATATATATATATATATATATATATATATATATATATATATATATATATATATATATATATATATATATATATATATGGACTAAAAATAGAGAAAATGGGGGCTTCTGTCCATTATTTTTACTCTAAATAAGGGGGTTTTGTCATTCATTGCTTGAGGGGGCTTGTCCAATGGGGTTTTGTGTCCTAGGGGAGGGTTTTGTCCTGTTTTATTTCGTCCTACACTCATTTATATATATATATATATATATATATATATATATATATATATATATATATATATATATATATATATATATATATATATATATATATATATATATATATATATATATATATATATATATATATATATATATATATATGTGTGTGTGTGTGTGTGTGTGCATGTAAATCACT